GTCTTTGCTGCATCATCCAATAGCCAGCTTTCCGGCGTTGTTTCGTTTTCTGGATGGACCCTCCTCTAGGAAATCGCTTTGGATCCCCCTTTGGTTAGATGTAGAGATAAGGAATCGATCTAAATATGATTCGTTACTGACAGATATATCGGAGAGCAGTCTGTGCTTCATTGGGTAAAGTGGTTACTGGGTAAGGTGGTTCTAGCATTCATGTAAAGCGCTATGGGGACTTAGTTTGTCCTTAATACTACTTTTTGTAGGAAAGTATATCTGGCCTATCTTGATTCGGTTCACTTTTTTCAACCGCGACAACTGCGAACCGACGTGTACCATGAGATTTTGCTCGGCTATCTGAACTACGTGAAAATACTGGGCTACACGATGGCATATTTTTGGGCATGTCCACCAGCGGAAAGCGATGACTACATATTCAACCGTCATCCACCGGAACAAAAAATACCGAAAGCGAAAAATCTTGAAAATTGGTACAAACGATTGCTTGAGAAAGGCCTTCAGGAACATATTGTTTATAATTACAAGAACATTTATAGGCAGGTATGTGGCACAAAATATTTCTCTGAAATTTTTTTTGTAGAATTTGAAAGGCATTTTGCTATTTTTGCCGAAAGGCAGAACAGATAAGCAAATTGCTAGGCGCTGACGATGAAACAACAGTTGTGCAAAGCAAAAAAGTGAAACTTGCGAATTTCAGTTGTATTTATTTTTGAGACCGTTAAAATTTTAATGCCCACTAAATCATGTGCATTGATGCAATTCAAAGCCCGAGTAGGTAAGAAGTCATTTTTGTGTGTTTTGTACTGAAGCTTTGACCTCCCAAATTATCCTCTTTTTAAGGCCAAACAAGATAATTTGTTAACTCCAATGGCTTTACCGTATTTCGAAGGCGATTTTTGGCCGACTTCAATTGAAAATTGTATTGGAGATGTGTCATATAAAGACAGTCCAGTGGCAAAAAAAAGGCAAAAAAGCATTAGTGGTGAAGATGGCGGTGATAATATTGCTTGCGTTGGTAACAGCACAGCGATTACGCGAAAGCACAGGTGTTTATTTTTCAGTTTTCTAAGTCTCATTTTCTTGGATAAGATAATGAGAAGGTTGTAGTTTTGAACCCCGCCGTCAGCTTGCTTATAAGTAACCCTCAGATGAAGAATTATCGATAGCCTTGTTAATTCAGTGGTTTTCTCAGCAGAAGTATTTTGACAAGATTTTGAAATTTTGGGATTTTATTACTATTTCTGTGTTGAGCATTATCAACTCGAACGTTGCCACTTCTAAACTACAGTTTAGTACTTA